CCTCCTAGCAGTCCAGGGGACTCTTAAGAGTCTTCTCCAGCACCACAGTTCAAAGGCATAATTAGGGAAGAGATATCCATTATTCACAAATATCCATTAAATTGGAGAATACATAATTTGCAGTGGCTTGTGTCATTTGCATAATGTCATCATTGTAACTACATCATTTGCATCAATTATGCCATTGGTGTCATGATGCAAATGATAGCATTTCCATCATTTGCATAATAAATGACATAATCAGAATGAAAAATTAGCCTGCCTGATGCCAAGTCTGTTGCATCAAGGTCCCTTAAAATGAGGTTTCACTCTCTTCCTGTTTCATTAACATCCAAACTGCTAATAAAAACTGCCTAATTGATTCTATTTTGCTGATTTGTTATGTGTAGGTGCATTTTGCATTCTTTTCAATAATGCTTTATTGACATATGTGTTAAGGGTGAAGCTGGATTAGGTCTCCCAGGCACTAAAGGTTTTCCTGGTCTCCAAGGACGAGATGGCTCTCCTGGACCAAAAGGCAGCCAGGGACTTCCCGGTGTGCCAGGGGAAAAAGGGTTTCCTGGTGTCCCTGGCCAGGCAGGATCTCGAGGTGAGGCTGTGCCCTTCTGAGCTACATTTTATGATATAGGTTTTCTTTCCCTGTATATGCCATACATTTTGTAACCCTGTATATGCCATACATTTTGTAACTAAAATAAAGTGAATGGTGTAACATCTCACTTGAGGTTTACACAGTTTAATACAGCTTATTTTTCTCTCTAATATTTCGTTTATTCTCTTTTATATGAGAAGTCACTTTTATTCCTCCCTTTGATTTTTAAAGTGTGACAAGGGAAGTACCTTTTTGGCTCTGTTCTGTGATTACTCTATAATCTCTTAAGTCTTTTTGAGCTAAATGGGACTTCCCTTGAAGTGTTTATCACATTGTAAAGGACCTTTTATTAGGGTCTACAAAGACCAATCATCTTTAAAATGAGTAATATGCAAGTTAACTGGCTATAGTTGTTCATTTTTCCAATTAGGTGAACCGGGTCCTCCTGGATTACCAGGTTTACAGGGTTCCCCTGGTGAGCCCCATATGGGCCCCCCTGGCCCCCCTGGCCCCCCAGGACAATTCGGGCCTCCAGGACCAATAGGTAACCTATTCATTTATTTCCATCACCATTAATGTTGATAAATCTTCACACTAACCTGTGTTGAAATCTATCCTGCACAAGTTTTATGGTTTGATGAAAAGCGCCAGTGTTTATATTTCTAACTTCTTTTAAGCATCTGAACATGAGGGAGATCAGGCATTGCCAGGAGTATGTGAAACAAAGAAACCAGCCAACAACAGTTTCATTTCATCACTGAACTCTCTAGCAAGGAAGTTGTTCCCCTGGACATAAACTCACTTTTGGTTGGTCAGAATAGAACATCTTGAAAGGGTAACCAAACTTATGGTTTATTGACTGAGCCAAATCAGAGCAGAAATTCTCATGTTTCTACAAGCGATAGGTGCATGTACTAGAGGCAAATAGGTAGCTAGCATTTCCAGATCCAGAGTGAAGACAGTGGATACTGGGAGCCAGAATAACTTTTCAGGCAGTTTAGTGGTTGAGGAACTATTCGCATATCAAGTGTTGGAGTCATTGCACAAATAGTTAATTACTCTAATTCTTTTAGGGACAGTTACTTCAACAGTTTCTAAGAAGTATTTTTCTTTTATTTTGGACATAAGTAAAACATAAGTAACATGAGGCCCTGTTGCAAACAGTTACTATTTCCTGTGTAGATGCTAATCCTTGTTCTGTTACATTTCAAATGTAACAAATACTCTTTGTGAGTATCTGGAAGAACAGAAATGAACGTCTGTTCTCAGAGTTTCAGAGCTTCAGTTTCAGTGAAGACATTCCATCAGCGTTTCTCAGAGACGGATGCTCAGTTGCGTGGGTGTGAAAGAATCCACCAGATTCTGCTCAGGATGTATCTGTGGGCGTGGTAGATAACGACTCCTGAATCAGCTCCTTTTCTTGTTCTCATTCCTGTACGTCTTTAAATTATTTCTAGCCTTGTTAATATAAATTAGTAAGTTGATATTAATACTGCTTAGTTGATTTCTATTTTTCACCCATCAAGGAATGTATAAAAGATAGGGACAGTTTGGAGTTTAACAACTGGATTTTATATTTCCAGATGTGAGGGGCCAATTGATATTAACTTCTTCACGAAAGCTTTGGAAGATACCTTGATATAATCCACCATGAGTTCCTTATTTGGGGGAAAAAAAACCCACCTCAGATTAACTTTTTCATATGGATAATATATTTCCTGTAGGGTTCCTTCCTTCCAGCATAAGACTGAATATTGCCTTTGTTTCCCTGTCTGTTCCTGGAGATGTGACAATTTGCTTCACTGTGTAGTGCCATCCCAAGGTTAACATATGCCCAGTTAAAAATGCATTTTTCCTCCACATTTTTAGACCTAATACCAAATACATAATTTTCTGTGTCAAACCTTTTATTTCCAAGCATCTTTTTGTTTCCTGTTTCTGTTAATTGTTGCAGGGCATCCAGGGATCAAAGGTGAGAGAGGCCACCCAGGTATCCCTGGGCTAGGTACGCCAGGGATTAAAGGAGATAAAGGGGCCCTAGGACCGCAAGGGTTACCAGGTGTGCAAGGGTTACCAGGCCTACCTGGTTTAGAGGGACAACAAGGACATCCAGGGGTTCCAGGTATTTAATTAATTACATCGTTACATCTAATTAATTACATCTTTGTGATTAATAATTTGATATATTATTACTTTTTATGTATTATGTTCCAGTACATAGAGAAAATGAACAAAATCCTAAAGCAAAAAAAAAAAAAGTGGCACTAATATGTGATTCAGTATTGGTTTCACTTCTCTCCTTTATTGTTGCATACAAGTAGTCCTCGTTTAGCAACCACAATTGGGACCAGCAACTTAGTTGTTAAGTGAAGCAGTCACTAAGTGAAACCATGACTTCCTTATGATCTTCCTTCAGCTTTCCTTTGCTTTACAGTTCTGCAGAGGTCATAAATGGGTGGACTGGTCATAGAGTTACTTTTTTGTCACCAGTGTAACTGCGAACAGTCGCTAAACAAGGCAGTCACTAAATGAGGATTACCTGTATTTATATCAGGACTAATGCAAGATTAGAAAGTGCTGAGCCCCTTGCCTATAAATAATGAAGGTTTGGAAACACATACCTGATATATGTTAACATTCTCTCAATCAAAAAAATGCAAAAGATAAAGAATAATATGGATGGTTCAGAAAAGCAAAGAATTTCTGATTTTTAAGTCATCTTGAAAAGGCAAAGGTAAATTAATTCAATACTGACTACTTCATTTGCTGTGTGGATATAATGAAATCTGCAACTACAGGCTGATATTAAGTAATAAGGTCAATGGGAGAACTATCAGATCTATGGAAAGTACATGTCTCTTACAAGCATACCTGGCAGTCAACTAAACAAAGTTGGAAGCAAAGCTGTGTTATCAATGGTTATTGGAGATTAGCTTTTTGGTTGTTCTTTTCTGTTGGAAAAATTTATAACCTACCATTAAATGCCAAAGGACATTTAAAGTATCATCATCATCATCATCATCATCATCATCATCATCATCATCATCCCTACCATAGAAGCTTTGCAACCCCTTACAAAAGCAGCAAAACGTAATATTCAGTAGTAAAACACAGTGATAATCTTATCTATCTACCTACCTACCTACCTACCTACCTACCTACCTACCTACCTACCTATATCATCATTCCCCAAAATACAAGAGGTATCTGCTGCCTTGGGAATTCTGGGAGTTGAAGTCCACACATCTTAAAGTTGCCAAGGTTGAGAAACACTGGTTTAGAGAGTGATGGAGTGGAGATTCCTATCTTGGGGGCTGGTAGGCACAGGTTGGGGGACCTTGGGATCTTGGGGGGATCTGGGGTGGGTCAGGACATTCAGGTAGTGATGGATATGGGGAAATATGGTGGGAGATGGGGGCAGGCCACTCTCAGGAAATGCGATCATGGTGTCTTGTTCCATTTTTCTGTTCTAAGTTCAACCACATCTCCTGGTCAGCAGATTCTCAGAGTTCCAGGCTTCTGGTTGCTACTAGTCAGTGCCAGGTCAGCCTGTAATAAGGCCTCTCTCATCAGTGATTTAATCACAGATGAGATGGCTGACTTGGCATGAATTTCTGAGACCAGGCTGGGCCCAGAAGGGGGTGTTCCCCTCTCGGAAACCCCCAGCCAGGTTTCTAGTGTGGCATCAGCCGAGAACTCAGAGCAGAGATGGGGAGTGGCAATTGTCCTCCAGGAGTCTCCAATGATTTCCAGGGGTGCCGCTCCACAAGTTACTGGATATGAAACCCTGTTTATTAAGTTGGGCTCTAGGGATCAGTTGGGATTGATGCTACTGTTCCAGCCTCCCTGCTGCATAGCGACTTCCCTACCTGAGTTCCTTGACTCCATCTCTGGGTTGGCGGTGGAGATGCTCAGGCTTATGGTCCTGGGGGACTTCAACCTGCTTTCTCTGGAGGTAGGGCCTGAGGCTGCTCAGGAGTTCATGGCCACCATGATAGCCATGGGCCTGCCCCAGGTCATCCAAGGCCCAACACCAGACAGTAGTCACACGCCTGATCTGGTTTTCTTGTTGAAGCAGTGGCAAAGTGGCTGGGAATTGGGGAAGCTCTCTGTGACTCCCCTCTCATAGTCAGATCATACCCTGGAAATCATGGGATTCTCTGGTGCCCCCCCTCCCCCCCACTGCAGGGAAGCAGGACCTAATTGATCGGTCCACCTCCAGTGACTGATGGACCCAGATGGGTTCCAGAAGGAACTGAGGGTTGTTCTTGATGGTCTGTTGCACAATCCAGTTGAGGCCTTGGTCACCACGTGGAATAAGAGGGTGATGGAGGCTTTAGATCAGATCGGGCCCATGTGGCCTCTCTCCTCCCATGGATCCTGTCACTTCCTGTGGTTTATGGAAGAGCTAAGGGAGATGAAACAGGTTAAGAGACATCTAGAGTGCTGCTGGAGATCAACGAAGAGTGAACTCAACTGAACATAGTTGAGAGCCACTATTAAGGCCTACCTTGTGGCAGTAAGAACAGTGAAGTACCAGTACTTCTCTGCCCTTATTGCATCCACAAATAGCTGCCCCTTTTTTAGGGTGATCTGAGCCCTCTCTGGTAGAGAGGACTTGGAGGTTCACCTATGGGGCCATGCAGAGGTGTATGCAGGGCATCTGTTAGATAAAGTTGCTCAGATTCATTCCCAGTTTGACATCAGCCTTATTATAGGGTCTATGGAGATGCCTGGGGCACAGTCTTGACCTGTTATCTTGGAAGAGTTTGAACCTGTTGGGCCTGAGGAAGGGGATAGGGTCCTTAGGACTATGAGCTTGGCCACCTGCTTATTAGAGTGCCCATTAGACTGCCCATGCCCTTCCCGGCTGGCTAAGGCCTCCCGGGAGGTGACGTGTGGCTGGGTTCTAGTGAATTCATCCTTGAGAGAAAGGGGTTGTTCCTCTGCCTCTTAAGGAGGTGTTGGTTCTCCCCCTCTGCAGGAAGCCATCACTAGATCTATCTGTACTGGACAATTTTCATCCAGTATTCAACCTTCCTTTTTAGGGAAGGTTGTGGAGAAGGTGGTTGCATAACAGCTTCAGCAGATCCTGGATGAAGTTGATTATCAGAACCCCTTTCAGACCTGGGTATGAGACTGAAACAGCATTGGTCGCATTTTTGGATGACCTCTGGTGGGAGTGGGGTGGGATAATGCATCCATCCTCATTTTACTTGACTTTTCGGCAGCCTACAATACACTTGACCATGGTATCCTTCTAGACTGGCTGTGGGGGTTGGGGGTGGGCGGCCCTGTATTGTGCTGGTTCTCTTCCTTCCTCTGCAGTTGATTCCCATCACTGCTGACCTTTGCTGTTTTAACTTGTAAGCCACCCAGAGTCACATAAGTGAGATGGGCGCCTCTATACGTTGAATGAAATAAATAAATTTAGGAGTCTTATCAGGTAGAGTAAGAATCAAAGGCTGTACCATATCCTGCTGCTTTCTTTACTTTTCTGATGGGGCTGAGAGGAAGGAAACAATATTGGGAAATGTGTGATATAACCTTCACATCCAGGGTAAAGACTTAGAATTTAACAAGCAGGCAAAGCAGGCAACTTTAGTGTGGTCACAGACCAGCGCTAAAGATTAATGACTTGACTTTAGACAGAAGTACAAGATTAAATATATATATGCTACATGCAGTTTCATAAAAACACTAATATGCAATAATATTTTTTCTTTTCTAATTCCTTTAAATACTTTATATAATCACCCATTTAGTAACAGTGGTTCTAGGTAGTGTGCAAAGAATTAAAACAAAAAAGAATGATATAAAAAATAAATAACCTAATCGTTAATCCACTACATATATTATTTTACTAAAAGGTATTTTTTCTAATTCTTGTGGCAAAAGGGAAAAATTAAATAGCAAAGGTATGAACTAGCTGTCTCCCCATTAAAAGACACGGTTGTTTGTTTCAAAAAGTAGAGGAAAAAGCTTAGAAAATTGAGAAATTAATAGAAATTAATATAGAAATTAATATTGATTAGAATTATGTATCCTTATTATAGTGAAATGGTATTTATTAGTATTAATTCTCTTTCATATAATTTTTAAATTGTGATGAGAAAAAAATGCTACAGAGATTAGTAACTTTCCAAATTTTCTTAAAAATAACATGCCACAATTTTTGTTCATTGGGTTTACTATGAAAAGAAAAATTGAAATATATGAAATTATCAATAATGAGAACAATTAATATGATTTGATTTTAGGACTGAAAGGAGAAATGGGAATTATGGGTACCCCTGGAATCCAAGGTCCTCCTGGCCCTATAGGAACTCCTGGAACTCCAGGTGAAAAAGGTAAGACTTACCAATTTGGTTAGCCAAATGAAAATTAGACTTTGCAAAACTGCTTGTAAGAATTTTTTTAAAAATTAAACAAATAGAAATAAAAGCATCAAGAGAATGCCAACATGACGTGTCCTTGCCTCCTAGCAGCTGTGCTGCTCTTTAGACTTCCATTCAGGCAGTTCTGCGCACCTCAGAATGCTATAAGGCCTAATAGAAGCAAAGCACGTGTGAGAATAAATGGATAATGTTTAGCACTGAGCAGCAAGTAAGAAAAGGATCTAAGATGTCCCCTTAGATGCTTAATGTACTTATGAAAAAATATATAAGGCTGTTGGTTGTGATGGGCTGAGAAACTGAATGATCTGCAGCAGATGTTACATAGACATGACACAGAAATGCATTAGAAAGTTAACATATGTAAGACGAAAGTAAGTTTGTTTGATGGGAAATGGAGTGAATGATTGCAAGTTATACATGAATGATGAAAACTAGAACAAATAGATGAATTTGTGTACTTTGGTAAAATATTTACTGAAGATGGGGAAATAGAGGGATACGTACAAGTTCAGGTAGAAAGGTAGCAAGTAGTATGTGCTTGTTTCAAGTAATGAATGTCAAAAGAAGCAAAATATATGTATGCAAGAATGTGCTTCTGCCTTTGTTGTGGAAGTGAGAATTGGGTATGTCATAAAACACATGAAAATAAATTACCGTATTTTTCCGACAATAAGATGCCCCCATGTACAAGACGACCCCCACTTTTCCAGCCCAAAATTAAAAATACTAAATAAAAATGTGTTCTGCGCTATCTTACTAAATAAAAATGTGTTCTGCGCTATCTTACTAAATAAAAATGTGTTCTGCGCTATCTTACTAAATAAAAATGTGTTCTGCGCTATCTTACTAAATAAAAATGTGTTCTGCGCTATCTGCAATCAGCCTTCCTCTAATTGGTCTGTTCAGCATCAGCTGACGTCAATTACATTCGCCTCGGGCCTCGAGGCAGTATGTTTGGGAGACAAGCTATTTCACTCGTGATTGGAGGCTAGCAATAGGAGGAAGCCTCTCTGCAGAAACAAAGTATGGGCAGTTTGGAACCGCGCGATTCTCGGCTGACTTCCTTGAATAAGACGCCCTTCAGTTTTTAGGGTAAGGATTTTAGAAAAAAGTATCATCTTATAGTCGGAAAAATATGGTAAATGCAATGAGAATGAATTATTTAACAAGTGCATGTGGTAATAAAAAATGAATGTGGGCTGAAAATAAGTGATTGATATGAAAGTTGAATGTTGAGGTAGTCATATAGAAGGAATAAATGAGAATCAAATCACAAATCAAATATGTGAAAAAAGAATGAATGGGTTGAGTTGACTTTGTGGATGGATGGAATTATTTTACTTATAACTGAAAGAGTGGATGAATCTGATTGCTATACATATATAAGTGAAGAGAAAAAGATACAGTTAAATATCTCTTGAAAGGCAAAGACTTTATATTGAAAATTGGCAGGTAGACAATATTCTGTATAGTACCATTCCCTGTGCAGTTTCTCTATTATACAGTGCTTTTCATTAATTAACCTTAACTAATTAATTGATTTGCCTTCTTAGGAGGCAAATTGGTGGTAGTGGTGGCTCAGTTATTCAGTCACTTCTGATTCTTTGTGTCTGGATGAACATCATTTTGCCAGGATGGTTTTCACCAGCTCCTTCGAGTTCCTCTAAACACAAGCCTGGGCTGTCAGTGGTAGTATCTACTTACCTTGTCTTCAGTGAGCTTCATTTTTAGATGTCCTTGATTTTGCAAATATTAGTGACTCTTGAATTTGTGTTATTGTCTAAAATATTTTAGTGTCAACTTCTTTATTACTGCTTCCAGTAAATGATATCATGTTATGCATCTAGTGTTCTTGGATTGTGGCAAAATTTTGAATGGCAAAATCTTGCACATTGCGTTAATAAAATTGTTTTGCTAATTTGAGCAATCTTTGCACGCTGCCCATAAATTGATCTTTTCCAGTCCCTTAGCAACTGTGTTATTCTCCATACCTGCTTAGAAACCTGTGTAGTACTTTAGCTACATCATCTTGTAAGATTTTAAACAGTTTTTCTAGTATTTCATCAGATTTTTTGGTAATATTTTTCTAGGGCGCATTTAAGTTCACTTTCCAGAATTCAGGCTCTAGTTCAGGGGTAAAACCTTCAATATCATCAATTCTGTAAACTTTTCTTGTACACTTCTTTCATAGATTCATGCCATCTCTTCTTCAGTAGATTTTTGTCTTCTTTTTCTTTCATCATGTCCATATTTGCACAAAAGTTGCCGTCAATTTTTGTAATTTTATTATTCATTTTTAGTATTGTATTATAATATATTATTATTAAATGTAATATATATTATGTATTATCTTATTATAATAAATTATATTATTATTATTATTATTATTATTATTATTATTATTATTATTATTATTTGTTATCCTCAGTTTCTTTGCGTTACTAGTTTAGGTATAACTCCTTAGCTCTCTTTACTCTTCTCTGCAGCTCAGCATTTAGTTGGGGAAATTTCCTCTGTCCCAGTTCTTTTTTTCTTTCTACCTTTCTTTAACTACCATGTAAGCAAGCAGTCATTTTACCTTTGCATTTCTGGATATTTTTATTTGCTTTGTCTTTAATGATATCAGGAATGGCAGTCCTTTAGGCAATCTCTTTATCAAATATAACCCACTGAACCTATTATCTGCTGTCACTGTGTAATCATACTGCTGAGGCTTTTCTCATCTGACTTGGTTTTTTAATTTAAATTGTAATTTTGGAAGAGGGAGTTCTGCTCTATAGTGAACACCAGGTTTTGTTTTTTACTTTTTGCCTACTGAATAAAACTTCTCCACATTTGCTTACAGAATATATAGTTAATTTGACTTCATTGGTATCCATCTCGCAGAGTCATTGTTTTAGAAGAAGCCGTTTGCTATAAACACTAAATTTTCTTGGCAGAACTGTAGGAAGCAATTTAGGTCAAGTTAATTACATGAAGGAAAGAAGCAATACTTCATATTCAGCCTTGGGCTTCTGATTCAACTCATGTTTAAAAGAAAAATCTAAGGAGGAAAGAGATTTTTGTCACGTCATGACAAAAGGCATAAAGATTGTTTCATTAATGAAGCTTCAAACAGAATACAGTTCTGCTTTTGATAATGTGTAGAGAAAAACACGGTCAATTAAAAGCTGTTTGGAACACATGCTAGACTAGTTGCAGAACATTCATTACTGTGATGAACTTTTCTGTGCTTCAGCCTGAATTATACTACAGCTGCTCCCTCTTTTAAAAAATGCTTTTTATTGAAGAATTTTACAGTATTAAAAGATAATACAAACTAATATAAGAAATAAAGAAAAGAGTAGAAAAGAAAAAAATGCAAACTCCAGAGAAAGTAGAAAAGAATAAAAAAGAAAATAATAGAGAAAATAAAAAGTATAGAAAAAAGGATTTAAAGACTTGACTCCCAATCTTCCTTGCAACAAATACAAGCAAGTTAATATTTTCCCACCCCCTATGCTATTAGATACATAATTCACTTCTTCCCTACTCCCCCTTATCCAATCACCAATTCAAAAATCATTACCATTTCAGTCCAGGTGTCAGCAAATAGTCCATAAAGCGTTACCAGAATTTTATGAAAATAGTACGTATTTTAACCTTGATCAAATAAATTGGCTTTATATTCCTTCCTTTTGCCTCTAACAGTCTTAATTTTTAATTCATCAAGTTGCTGTCAGGTTGAAACTGCATTCAAATTTTCTTTCTCCCATCTCAAAGATTTCATCAAAGCTCTAGGACCCTTCTTTTGTAAATCTGATAATAAGTCCTTGTCCAGGTCATTTTTCGTCTCTTTATTTGTCACTTGTATTTCTACATTGGCAATCATCTCTGTCTTGTAACCGCAGTTTCTTCATTTTCCAATGTTTCTACAACATTTAGAATTTCTATATCTTTTACTTTGACTTCTTCTTTAAAATCTACTTTAAGAAATACGCTAGCAGGTGTAGAAATTATTGCTGTCAGTTTAGTTATAAGTTTCTCTCCCAGTTCTTCAAATGTCTCAGGCGTCATACCTTCATCTGCAGTCTTGTCAGTTTCATTGTTCTTTTCCCTGCCTGGAGCATTAATTCCCTCTAGCGTCCCATTTCTGTACTCAGAAAATCTCAAGTTTTTCCTCCTAGACTAAACAATTCATATTCCCACAAAAGTGTTCTTTTGTTTTATTTACTTAATTTTTCAAAGCTCTTAGCAAAAATCCCAATAATCCAAATTTGTCTAGTCTCTTAGTCCATTTAAAACTTTCTTAGGTTAAATTCTTATTTATTTTATTGTATATTAAATTCTTTAAACTGTAAGTTAATTTTTCTTCTATTTTGGGATGAAGTTTTACTCACCAGATAGATTTTCAGACTTCTTGTTTGGAAGTCCTGTTTTAACTCTAAAATAATTATAAATCCAAAAGTGTTTGAAAATTTTATACAGTATTTGAAGAACAGTAAAACTAAGGATCCATCTTTAAGGAAAGAAACGATAGCTTTTTCCAGACAGAAACTGAAAAGTGGAGTACTGATTTAATAAAAGTTAATACCACTTTGCCTCCTGGTGGATTGATGTAGTCATTACATGTTAGAAACCAAAGGATGGTTCACATGGATAAGGATGAAAAAAACCCATGTAAAAAGGAAAATAAGATGCCCTCTGGGCTTTTAAAGATTCTTTCAAGAATTTACAGAAGGATGTATGAACATGAGAAGCACTTTATCCACTATATTAAAATGAATTTTTCTTCTGCTAATGGAATTTTATTTTATTTGGGAAAAAATTGTTATATGGCTATGATAAGGCCAATTTGAAATTGAAAATGAGAAACTCAGTTGAAAAAAAATAAGCAAGATTACTAAGAAACCACACATCATTTAGAAACATAGGAACTCCTATAAAAGGGTTTAAATTAGGAAATGTAAACAGGTAAAGGTGTCAAATGGAGTTCACAAGCTATCTGAAAACAGAAGTTTTCTGTTGTGTTTAAATTCCTCCCTTGTTGAATTTCAAATGCATGCCTGGGTATTAATTACCTGTTTGTTTACTTATTTATTAATTATTGTTACTCCAATAACATTACAAGTTTGCACCATTTGAAGTATGCTGATAACACATTTGTTACACCTTATTACTATATATTATATAATTATTCCAGATTTGATAAAATCCTGATTTGGCTCTCTGAGTGTAAAAAATTTGAATTCTTTCCATGATTTTTTCAACCCTAGCTATTGACTGTATCTCTGAACAGTATTTTTCAATTGTTACATTGTCCAAAAATTTCTGCTGTTGGCGTATTATAGATTTAATGGATGGAAGTAAAAATATAATAAGTAAAACTATAATAACTTAATAAGTTAATTTAGCATTCTCTCCTTCAAATATATGTAATGACCACAATTTAAATTTAAATTTAAAACTAAATGTTGTTTAGTTTTAGATTTTACTTCCTGGGAGAATGGTGCAACTTTTACACAGTCTACCACATAGAAATGTATCCTTCTGCTTACATCCTCTCCAACATGTCACTGAATAATTGCTAGATATGTACCATATTCGTACTGGGGTTAAGTGCCATTTATGTACTATCTATTAATTACTTTTGTTGAGAAAAATCAAAATGATAAGCTTACTTTGTGTGTGTGTGATTTTTTGAATGGCCTTAATAAAGCTTTACTGTTAGATCTAGGATTTTTTAAATGGACATATGTAGCTGGCCTTGCTTTCTATTTATGTGAATTTGTGTGTGTGTGTGTGTGTGTGTGTGTGTGTTGTCTATCATCCATGGCTGTCAAAAGAACTAAGTTAAGCAATGTGAGGTGGAATGACAATGTACAATAGGAGTTCAAGTAGAGCGTTCTGAAAACTGCAGTTGCATCTTTTCTAAGAAAAGAAGACTTAGGGCCCAGATGGAGAAATATATTAGAGAGAGAAATCACATGGACTCCTGACAACAGGGCTGAGAGAAATGTAAGGAAGTAGAGTTAAGAGTGAAATTAGGGTACCTGGAGGAGTAGAATGACAGCCATAAGAACTGAAAATCTCAGTTCTATCACCCCAACCGATTCTAGCATCAAGCTCCGGGTTTGTTTGTTTGTGCCTTCGAGTCTGTGTTGGCTCCTGACGACTGCCTGGACTAGTCCCTACAATTTTCTTGGCAAGTTTTTCAGAAGTGGTTTGCCCTTGCCTGCTTCCTAGGGCTGAGAGAGAGGGACTGGTCCATGGTCACCCAGCTTGCTTTGTCCCTGAGGCGGCACTAGAACTCACGGTCTCCCCAGTTGTAGCCCGGTGCCTTAACCACTACACCAAACTGGCTGTTTATCAAGCTCCTACCCTTGAATAATATATTAAAACTCTACATCTATTCTTCTGAGATAGGACTAAAACAAAGTACTTATGTCTGTGGTTAAATAGAGTCAAAGACATGCTGTAGTTCATTCTGTTTGTTTGATTTGTCATGTAGGATCCCTAGAGAATATTTGACTGACATAAACACTATGTGGAGAAGATTGTCCTTGGTTCGGTTTTTAAAAAAATGTTCCTTGAAGAGTGATTAAGCACTTGTGTATCTGTCCAAAAACGAAGGGTAGGATAGTTTCTTTTCCAAAATATAGGACACTTTTATGAATGAATCACATGAATTTGGCAATGGTATGAAACAGGCAGTCTTATCAAAAAAGCATACAATGGTTTTATGAAATATAACCCTAAGTAGCAGAGAACACATATAAAAAAATGGGCAGGCACATGTTATAAGAAACTTTTTTTAACAGGACAAGCTCTTTGTCAATAGAAGGGACTGCTTGCATTCACGAGAGGCGCTTAGAGATTAGACATACATCTGACAGGCATGCTTTAGTTGCACAGTTCCTGAACTGATTAGCTTATCTCTATCCCTTTCAATTCTATCCATCCTATGTTTTTTATCCATGTATATGACTTAATCACAACATTTCAACCAAGAAAAAAAAAAATCAGCATACGCTGTTATATTGGGATGACCAATTTAGATGAATGCTAGCTATTTGTCACTGTTGCTGAATGGTTATAGTTGCTGTTATGTAACTGGATTTTTAATAGTTTTGTGCTGATCATCTTAATTCAAGTATATTTTTAAGCACTTCCCTATTGGAGGTTTGAAAATGCCATTCTCATGGCCTAGGGTAAAATGGCCTTGTCTCATAATATTCTCTGGATTATGTTCTTTGTAGGTAGCATAGGTTTTCCTGGAGTGGCAGGACCCAGAGGTGATCTGGGTTTAAAAGGTGAAAAAGGTGAAGCTGGTCTCCCAGGAGAGCCAGGATCAATGGATCAGGTTGATATGGAAAACCTGAAAGGCCAAAAAGGAGAACAAGGAGATAAAGGTTTGTCAAATTAAATGATGTTGCTGTTGTATTTTGATTATATTCCCTTCTGAGCCAAAACAACAATAATGTTGGCATGCCAAATAATGATGTACTTAATTTCTACCCAGAAGTTTGCCTTAAACTCCATCTGGGATTTGCAAGAAAATATTATTGTCAGGGATTTTGCAGGCATGCAACAGGATGCCGACTCCTCACTTGGTCAGCAAAGGAAACAAAAGTGTACTTTCCAAAGTAATGGAAAATGTAATGGTCACCACATTGGCCAGCAACCAACTTCTGACCTTAAAATGATGCTTCTTAGGATGCTAGAGGGCAACATTTTAAGATTAAAAAGTCAAATACTAGGTTGATAGTATTTGGTTAATTAGCTCCATGGTTAATTAGCTTTCTTCCTTTTCAGATGTAAAAGAATCTCTATTGCTGGAGGGGGGGCATTGTCAGGAAGACTAAAAATAGTTTTGTAGGTATTATTTAGAGTTTAATTTTTTCAGGGGCCTTAACTCAGAGGAGCTGGTCTGGAAAGACAGGTCAGCCTCCCTTGATAACAAAACAAGTTCACTCTGTTTTAGCCAAGTGGAGGAGGTCTCTCAGACAATTTCCCCAGGTACCTCCAAGAATATGAACGAGGAGATCAAGAAAATTCCCTTTTCCCTCATGACTAAAGAAATATTATAAAAATGAAACTATTTGGTCTCCAAGCAAATGGAGAGGCAGGGTGTGTGTTGCTCTTTGGAACGTATGCTGCATAAATGACAAAGGAGAGATCTGTATGCATCCTAAAATGCACTGCTTGATACTTTCTTATCAACCAAGCTTGTATCATTGGCAATACCACTGTTTGGACATGAATGGCTAAATTTAAGGTCCTCTAGGCTATCAAAGATCAGAATAATTTTAATGACATTCACCCATGCAAGAATTAAGGTCCTCCAAGATACATGCAATGGGATAAAGCAGTCAGTGCTTCACTTTTTAGGAGGCAGTTTCAGATCAGTGCATCATCCTTTGGATGATCCAGTTAGATTGTTCCTCTCCAGAATCCATCCTGTCTTGTGCTGGTATAGCAGGGGTTTAGCTGAATTGTTGTAGTCCTCTCCCAAGACTTGTAAGACACCATTGCTTGTGCAACCTCATTTAGTGATTTGGCCATAGAGAAGGAAGCCACTTTACTGGTACACAGTATAATTAATTGGTTTACTTACATTATTTAACCAAGGGCCACCATATTGCAATTTTTGCCTCTGGAGTGTAAGATGCTTCCTAAGTATATTTTTTGTCTGCAAGTCCCTGCTACCTATTGAAGGAAATGGACCTCTAAACATGACTTTTCTTGAATCCAGGATGATTACTGACTTTTGGGCTTGAGCTTTAAACCCCAGTGAAAATTACTTAAAGTTAAATTGTGTGTTTCATGTATACTCAAAAGTACTCTTTGATTTTTGTACTGCTTTACAGTAATAGAAGCACTCTGTTTATATCAGCTGATCATCTTGATATGACCAGAGTTATATAATGCAGAACTTCAGGTGTGGTTGAGAGAGAATCTTGACAGGAAATCAACATGTTTGATTTTTAGGAGCAAAGGGGATAATAGGAGAGAAGGGATTTCAAGGGATTTCCGGCAGTCCAGGAATGCCAGGGAAGGATGGGGATCCTGGTTCGCCAGGCCAACCAGGTATGAAATATCTTTTTTCTTTTCAGTGTTCTTTTGAATGAAGGCTTATAGTAGCATGATGTGCTACCATTCTACTTTTAATAGCATTGCCATGTGTTTATATGATTTAGTAGACATGTTGGGTTATGTCTCTATGCAAAGTATGTTTAAATCAGCCAAATTTTCTTTTCTAATTTAGGACCAAAAGGAGATTTTGGTACTCCAGGAACCCAGGGTGAACCAGGATTTCCCGGAGAAAAAGGACTAATGGGTGAAATGGGTTTACCAGGTACTATTCATTGTAGACCTTTGATGATTTGGAATTTTGTACTGTACTGTAATTTGCCATCCGTCACCTTAAATATTCAGGTGGACTTTGTTTCAAGGAAGAAAAATATTTATAATGTAATGCAATATAACACAAATGTTGACCTTTTACTTTCAGGATTACCTGGAGAAAAGGGGGTTCAAGGCCTTCCAGGTCAGCCAGGTCAAGCAGGATTTGCTGGAGCTAAAGGTGAAAAAGGACAGAAAGGAGAGTCTGGACTTCCTGGAATTGGCTTCCCTGGAGCTCCTGGTGAGAAGGTATCTGTAATCCTCCATGACATGTTAACTATCCTAAACCGTGTTCAGATTATTTTGCTAATGTCTCTTAATTTCAAGACATAACTATTCAGGATTAGGTTTCCATAATCAAAGAGGTAGGAGGAGCAGGGGAAAAATTGATGTAGGCAATATAAGAAATTGACTTGTATGGAGTCAGATAATTGGATGATCTAGTTCAGTATTGTCTACTAAATGATTTGGAAGTGATTTCCCAAAATGTCAAGCAGCGGTCTTTCCCTTAATTGTTTGGTGACACTAGAGGTGAAAGCTGGGAGTTTCTGCATGCAAAGCATGTACATTTCCAAGGATCTACTGTATACCTCTTCCCTAGCATAATAAACTCTTATTTCTTGTGTGGTCAGAAGCACTTAGAAAGTGAAGCAACAGACTCAAGACTCACTCAAGTTGTGAGTGTAAAAAGCATAGGTGCAAGAGCAAATATAACTGTTCTCAGTTATAGCAAATATTCTGTTCTCAGTTGGAGGCCAAGTGTGAGGCGGGTCCAGTGGAGTTGCCCGGGGAATGTTCTTACCCAGTTATCTGGGAACAGTTTGATCCTGTTGGCCCTGAGGAAGTGAACAGGGTCCTCGGGGCTGTTAGTGCGGCTACCTGTATTCTAGATCCTTGTCCCTCCTGGTTAGTTAAAGCCACCAAGGAGGTGACCTTAGGGTGGATACTGGCGTTGGTCAATTCATCCTTGCAGGGGGTGTGTATTCCCAAAGCCTTTCAAGGAGGCTTTGGTTCACCCCCTCCTCAAGAAACCATTGCTAGATCCCACCCTTCTGGACAATTTTTGTCCAGTCTCCCACCTTCCCTTTCTATTTGCTCTTGCACCTATGCTTGCTAGATCCCACCCTTCTGGACAATTTTTGTCCAGTCTCCCACCTTCCCTTTCTATTTGCTCTTGCACCTATGCTTTTTACACTCAAGTGGTCAGTCCCTTTCTAGGGAAGGTGGTGGAAAAGGTGGTCGCGCAGCAGCTTCAGAGGATCCTGGAGGAAACGGACTATCTGGACCCCTATCAGTCAGGTTTCAGGCCCGGTTATGGGACAGAAATAGCATTGATCGCACTTTTGGATGATCTCTGCCGAGAGTGGGATGGGGGTAGTACATCCATCCTTGTTCTTCTTGACCTCTCAGGGGCTTTCAGTACCATTGACCATGGTATCCTTTTGGGTCAGCTGCAGTAGTTGAGGCTGGGTGGCACAGTGCTGTGCTGGTTCAGCTCCTTTCTCCAAGGCTGAACCCAATCAGTGTTGATAGGGAGCGAGAGGTCCAGCCCACAGCCCCTACTTTGTGGGGTGCCTCAGGGTTCGGTCCTCTCGCCGCTCCTATTTAACATCTACATGAAACCATTGGGTGAGACCATCCGGCGCCATGGGATGAGGTATCATCAGCATACATCTCCATCCCAGGTGACCTAAGTGATGCTGTGGCTACCCTCTCGTGGTGCCTGGAGACTGTGGGGGCCTGGATGGGGGACAACAGGCTTCAGCAGAACCCTAGTAAGATGGAGTGGCTGTGGGTGTGGGGAGCCTCAAGATCTAGGAGTTTATCATCTTTGGTTCTTGACGGGGTCATGCTACCCCAGACAGATCTGGTGCATAATCTGGGGGTCCCCCTGGACTCACAACTCCTGTTCGAAGAGCAGGTGGCAGTCATGGCTAGGAGGGCCTTTGTGCAACTTCGTGTTGTGTGGCAGTTACACCCCTTCCTCAATCAGGAGGCCCTCCGCACGGTCACTCATGCCCTGGTCACCTCCCAGCTGGATTACTGCATTGCGCTCTACCTGGGGCTACCCTTGAAGAGTATTCGGAAGCTACAGCTGGTGCAGAATGCTGTGGCACGGACAGTTTTGAATGCCCCTAGGGGGGGCACATATAACACCACTGTTACGTGAGCTGCATTGGCTGCTGGTTTGCTTCCAGGCCCAATTCAAGGTGTTGGTTATTACCTTTAAAGTCCTTTATGGCACTGGACCAGGTTGTCTGAGGAGCCGTCTCGCCCCTGTATTTCGGCCACCCCACTTGGTCTGGCAGAAGGGGCATGTTGCAGACCCCACCAGTCAAGGAATTTCAACTGGTGGGGTCTAGGAAGAGGGCCTTTTCTGCTGTGGCCCCTGCTCTATGGAACAACCTACTTCCCAAGCCATCTCCAGATGGGGGCTCACACCAGTGGAGGTGGCATGTGGGGTGATTGACTTTGCCCCCCCCTGTAAGGTTTGCCCCGTTCGACAGAGAAACTCTCGTGACACGTGTGGTTCACAAAG